TTCTGGTGGTCCCTTTAAAGTAAAAATTATTGTATGATAATTACGGAGGCCTTTGCCTAGCAGCGGGGCACAATTAGGATATTTACTAAATACATTTTCATTCAGATAAATCGTAGTCGATGTAAGATGGTATTAGAAGACTTATACAATGATTTATACAGTTTGTGATATACAAAGTTGTGAATATATATTTATTTAATATAGAACCGTGTGTGCACACCATACAACCAACAGTGCACCGACAGTCTGATTGTTATGAGAGGGGCCGGGTGGAGACGAGAGCAGGCGCGATTCGATCAAGCTTGCATAAATCGATGCGATACGCCCAGATCGAGAACAAAGCCGCAAGCTTCAACCGAGACGAGCAATACCCTCATCTACCTCTCTATATGTACCTACCAGTGTTGCCAGATCCTTTATTCACAATATTGTCATAAGTTACAAGCAATATTATAAAAAAATATAAAACGTAATATTTGTTACATCTACATCTCTGATTTCCTACTTTAACAACCAAACCAAATCGAAAGACATGAAATTTCGTATACCGGTACTGATCGATGTATTATTTGCAACATAAGAAGAATATAAAGACTACTTACTAACCTGATAAAGCGGAGATAGTAATGTGAAAAAACTACCATAGACTAATTGAAAATGAAACACATAATTTTAAAAGTGAAAAAATTGGCCATAACAACTGGCGCAGTTGACATCACTATTAAAACAATCCATCACCGCTGTCGATATAAACAAACACCAGGTCCTGTGAACGTGCAGTTTGTGATTACTTGTTTTGTATATGAATCGACGACATCTATACTTTTACATACATTACACTTATTTATTTAGAATTACAGTAGTACCCACATACCTGTGTCCATTTTACTTTTAACCTCAAAACCTTAGTAACGTCTTGAATTTGTTAAAGGAATCAATTTCAGATTCTCAATCTTTCGAAAACTATTCAATTTAGAAAGGTGTACGCAACTTGCATATGAATTTTAAATTAGATTTTTAATTGTCTTCATATTTATATATTGTTTCCTGTGATTTTATAAATATTAGACTCACGTATAGTTGGGTAACCAGGCGTGTTTTACCACAGTATGCATTCATCACGAGTAGTGATTAATTCCGTGCTGCACGATTATACATTCAGGAGACACAAAGCCCCTTACTGCAGGAGACGACAGATAATCCATCTAGAATAATCTGGATGCACCGATGTAGGTATATTATGCTAATCCGCACCAACATAAGACGATTAACGACAAGAGGGTATTTGGAACATTAGTTCGGTTGCTAACTGTTGGAACAGATCAATCTGATTTTATCTAATAGATAGATGACAAATTACACATTTGCAACGTTTAGCATAACCATACATTGAAATTTAATTTGAGATATGCCTGTTGTAAAAACGTAATCGCTAAATAGTGGAGCATTACTTAATAGATATACAGAAAGAAAACCACGGATTCCCTTAAGTTAAAACAAAATATTATTTGAGATAATTCATTCGTAACAGAGTCCCTATTCATTGCTACAATATAAATAGAAAGCTGTATGTTTTCTGCATTTTCAATACTCAGGTATGCTATTGAAAAATCTGTGGATGCCGTTATTGTTATTTCTAAAAATAATTATTTTGTGTAAAATTTGTACTTATACTTCTTTTACGAGTCTTAACTTGAACATTGTGTATAATCAATTATTACTAGAGTAGTATCGATGAATGATAACATAATTGCGAGTACTTGACATACTTAATTATTCAAATTTGATTGACAGAGACAAATCAATATATGAAGTATATTACAGACCTTTTCTGTCCACTGATATTTGATATTAGTTAATGGTCATAAATAAATTTGTATATATAATCAGTGTTGAAATCCGTTCCAATCCGCAGTCTTAAAATATTCACAATTTCGCAATGAATATTTAAAAGGCGAATAATTACTCATAACTTAGTCAGTAACAGGTCAAGTATAGGTATACGAAGTACAATCTATGCAATACATAATACATACAAATAATTACGGCACAACTTATTCATTATTTAATTTTCAATAAAAAGAACAACGACCTTAAAAACGTTACTCTGTATCAAATCTCAAGAGAAAAAATAAAAGAGCGGTGAAACGACTACCGTGCAATCTGTTTCACTTTAGGCCGTCTTAATAATTACAAGTAGCCATTCCTTCCAATTAAGAAAAGTCTTGGACGATAAATTGTGAAGGCTGTCGCGGGTTTGGAGCGAGTGCTGTTATACCGCGCGTAAACACGCCGCGTTAGGGCTGCCACCGTTTCCTTACAACTCATATCTGATGTATAACTAACTCTACACGAAATAAAACATTTTCATGGTTTTATAAATATCTTTTACTTCTTTTACATAAATAAGTCGTATTTACACCCCCCGTTGCTACCTTAATTAAAGGAGCGCACCTTTAAATACGCAACGACTGAGGCATATCGAAGAACAAACGCAAATTTATTCTGACCGGAGTTTTTTCGGCATCTATTAAATAAAGAAGTCGAGGAGAATGCTAAACAAGGTTGAGCGGCCCTCGCCCTGCGAGTTTTCCACTTGAAGTGGTGAGCGGGTGGCAGGGTGGCGCGTCGGGGTTGGGGTCACAGGGAGTGTTATTCAGAGTGGCTTAGATAAGGTAAGGAGGATGAAGAGGCGAGATGCGCGGCGTAATGAACCGGCTCCGAGCAGTTTTTGTGTGGTTCGGGTGCCCAAATTGAATATTAGGCGCGATTTGAGAGCGAATGAGCGGGCGGCAGAAATAAATCCGCGGTTATTATGTTACCCAAATGAGATTGTGGAAAGGCTCGCCCTGTTAGGCTTAGGGCCGCAGCTCAATTTCGCGTCGGTGTAAATTGGCCGTCGTAAACTCGGTAATATTTTGTGGGAATTTAAGTAGCTTTCTAGGAAGTTAAATTCTCTACACAAATACAGGCAGATTTTGCTATTTGAATATCGATATGATCTTTTTTTAACAAATATAAATTGTGCTTCTCAGTTCGAATAATAAATAACACATTCAGGTAGTTGTAACGGCGAGTTTCTCTACATTGTTAAAATAAACAGCTAGCTGATGTATCGGAAAATCAAATACACGGCATGCTATGTTTGCAAATAAACAGAGAGCCAGTTGCAACAGTGTAACGCATTCGTGATTCGCAGTAAAAACATTTGGCGGACGGAGCAGGAAAAGTACGCATCCAGTGCATGTAACTCGACGCTTCGAGCGACCGACAGACATTGAGCTGGCACGGCCCGCCAGCCTGCAGCCAAGACGTGGTACGTTTGTGCAAACTTTGTACGGCATGCATTTCTCCCTGCCACCTCCCCTTACTTCAAACTAAGGCGCGTTCGTGCATTACTCAGCCTGCCGCGTGTTTGCGCAGATCGACAGCTTCGTGAGCAGACTGCCGACACTACCGTACCGTATCGGGGTCAAAGCAAGATAAACTTCGCGTGCTGACTAGCACCTCACGACGCAACGTCTTCAATATAATAGAGTTCCTTACCACCCCTTCAGTTCATTCATTTCTAATACTTTATGACTATCATATTTATTATAATCACTGAATAAAGAAATATTTATTTTATTTTAGAGTCACTGCCCAATCCGATGAGATTTCATTACTCGTTTTTAATAAGTACTTAAAAGGTGAAAACAATAAGGTGAATTAATTTATGAAAGTATTTCAGTGTTAAGTAAGTACATACTATTTCTGAATTTATTTTATTAATATATATATATATATATATATAAAACTTAATTATTTAATATAGCAATGATATTCTACTCTTTCTCTACCACACTTGCAGTATTTTCACAAGTACACATATTTGAAAATTCAGATTGTTCAAGCAAAAATTAAAGTCATGTTACAGAGAAGTAGGTTAGTAAAACAAAGACAATGTTATAAAGGAGCGTGGTTCGGTATCGATTCTCATGCATTTTGCTTGGAACGAGTGGCGGTGCAGCGTGCAGTGTCGGTACGGTAGTGCGGTAGTTGCATGTACGTTTAGGTAGCATACTGCATCTGTGCGGTGCACCGTTGTGTTCATCCGAGCACACCGACAAAGGAGCGCCGGGGCGGTGGGCCACCACCACCTCTATACCATGATAGCCGACATTCGCAACACCTCGCTAGCAAGCCACGCAACTCAAGTTCACCTTTTAGGGTTGATAGTTTGATTTCGAAACCGTAAATTATTTTCATCATACATTTTATATTTGTTTTGTTTATTCATGGGCGTGTACACTTGCAAGTCAAAAGAGTTTAAGAGTTTTTTTTATATATATTGAATAGCCTTTAAAGGAGTTTACTATAGTGTAGCGTAGGAGCGGGTACTTCACTTTTTTGTATAATTTAATCCGGTATGATTTGTATTGTTAATAATTAGAAGAGCTTACGTGCGTTACACATGCGTGTGAATAATTGCGCGTAAATATTTTGCTAACAAGATTTTAGTTCGAACAATATAGACATTTCTAAAACATGAAAAAACTATTACTAAGATTAATGTTGACAGTCAAATAGAGACCACATTTTATTTTAATTAAAATTAGATATGAACATTTTTAACGATATGCTTAATTTCCAAAATCATTAATGAAAATATGGCAATTAAGACATTGAATATGTAGGTATTTCCGTTATGAATGGAATAATTTGAATTAATTGCTTGGAATATAATGTTATACGTGTACAACCCTATGTGACGTGGTCGGGATGCGCCACTTGCACCACCCACTTGTTTCAGTCAAAGCCGCGTTATGAAATCAACGTGTTCGAGCGTAGCACTCCTCTCGCCATTCGCATTCACAAATGGAAAAGACAGTATATTTGTTTTGCTAGTAGATATTTTAATACAATGTCGGCTATGCTATGATTGCATATTTTGTGTAACTAACAACAAGCTACGAAAAAAGATTTTAATATTTGTTATTACCAACTTTGAATGTACTTACATGTCTTTCTTCCGCTGAACTGATACCTGTAAACAGATAAACATAAATTAATAACTATGCTTTGCAGGTCACATAGATATATAAACGAATAATAATACTGTATTACGGCGATTTTAAGAATAATTTTATTTATTTAACTTTAATGCACACAATACAATATATAGTACAGTACATTTGGCGGACTTAACACCATGCGGTATTACCTACCAGTCAACCATAGGTGGTACAGAGAATTTTGTCCTCCAGTCAACAACATTTTTCTGAATCCGTCTAGTCTAGTTACAATAAACTGTATCACAACTCTATCATTTTGAGGATGTCTCAAGAGCAGGGTAAGTTATAAAACACAAACACATTGGTGTGAGGTAAAGAACTTTAAATAAAATATATTCTTCTTATAGCTAAAATATCCGTAACATAAGTGGGAAAATTAGATGTAGATTATATGGCCAAAACGTTTCCTAGGTCAGCTAGACCTTACCACCTTATAACCAAGGCATAAAAAGTAGCCTACGACGTATTCTTAGATATGCAAAATATACACTATTTTTTTTTATAAAAATCAGACATGCCGTTCCCGAGGAGTTCGACAACAGACACTGTGACACGAGATTTTAATATATTAGATGACGAACCAAATAAGAAGAATACTCAAGTTATTTATCAGGATTAAAGGGTATTGTTTAAAAAAAAAAAGATATAATACCTACTTGATACGTCGAAAACTTTCTTTAAAAGTGAATTCCAAAGGTGTATAAAATAATGATCAATTCGTAACACATACTCGTTGGTGTGAGGGGCACGTACAGTTGGTAGATTGTAGATGTGTTGCATTGGGCTTCGGGTCGCCGGGGCCGCGTGTAAAGTGGTCGATGAATATTACAGCGGCTGTCGGCGTCACGTCACGGATCCCTCGCGGTTACCAAAACCGAATCTAACCCATTTATATCTTAAGTTTTGTATGTAGGTACCGTATTACTGCGTTAGTATGATAAATGAATATCAGAAAATACTACTGTATTTTCTGATTAGTTATTAATTTGTAGACACGGGATTTACATATAGCAATCAAAACAGAACTAACTTCATCACATTTAAAAAAAAATCTTTATGTTTAACCCTTTACTTATTCAAATGGATCATAAAACTAATTAATTGCCTTTCTAGGGTTGTTAACTAAAAATAATTTTAATTATTTATCATTTAAGAAAAAATACAATTTATGAAAATAAAATCACATTAGTTTTGATAGTTAACATTGTTCACGTTACTTATCTTTGAGTCATAGGAAATATCCAATTATATAAAAGGATGTGTGGGAAATATTGATGTTTATTGAATGCCTAAAATAGACACATATCGTTTGCTATATGTACAAGTCACAATGCAGATAGATAATTGTTAGAAAGGGTTCTAGTAGCAAATTGGCTGGTTGAGGTCAATCACTCGTGTCACGTACTCAGAAACAGGGTTGCCAAACTTAAAACAACCCCGTATAAAGAAATAAAATGTCTGATAAAATCTAGTACATTGACTTGATTTGGCTAGAGAGCCCTCGTACCTCGTACATCGTCATATTTTTATCGATTTTCGTAGATCAAGATCTCGTACAATCTTGTAAGTGGATGGAAATATCCTCGTACAAAGGGCAAGAATCTCCTATTTGTACAAGGATCCTCTCATGGTTGGCATCCCTGCTCAGAAGCGAGCACTTACTGGGCTGACACCGGCCGAATTAGCTCCTGTCTAGTGGCAGACGTATCAATCAATGCTCACTGATCAATACGCATATACCTACATAGTACTAGTCGGGAATTTTGTATTTATTACATCTTTAAGTCAAATAGATTTCACTACTGTCTATTAAATCGTCTGAAATAAAATATTGACGTCAGGATATCTAATAAATGTAAGTAAAGTATAAGAATAAGTGAGGCTCTTATTTTGTTGGGCATCTTCACGACTCTAGGCACGGGATAATGTAACAAAATATCCCTAAAGGTGGTTTAATTTGATTAAGCGAGCGAATCCCCATTCTTCCCCAATTTGTGTTTTATATAATTGTTATAAGACGGATAAAAGCAATGTTTAATAGAAAAAATGTGTGATTAATTTTGTATGTTGTTGTTTTAGTATAAAACTTGTATTAGCTCTTGTTTATTACTGTTTGTTAGTCTTTACCATATTTCCAAGATCTTACATATGTGGATAAAGATTTTAGTATAAACAATGCAAATATCTTAATTTGTATAAAAATGTGATTTTATAAAAATATACTTTTTAGTATCATTTCGTCAAATTATTACACAGTGTTCGACAATTTTGTATCCTTGAATGTTATTTAATTTAAATCCATTTATAATATACTATCATTGTAAAATTTCAGCTACATAATAAAATACAGGAAACAAACGTACTATTTACTACAAATAGGATGTGACTCGGTACGGACGGGTGGGCGTCGACACCTGGGGGAGGTGTCACCGGCTGACACTGTAATTGTACTATTGTATTACGTAGTATAGATACGCATGCAGCCAACTAACTAAATAGGACAACCACAGGTCGTAGATGTCAAAGGCGCTATTCAAACCGGCTGATTCGCTTCAAGTTTGCGAGCAATTGCCAACCCAATCCTATTATCGTGCATATGCAGAGTACATATGTACTAGCAAAGACCAGACCTTGTATTGACTGAGCATGTATTACCACAATTAATTTAAATTCAATAGCAGATAGTTACCTAGGTCCTCGTTGCTTATACCACATGCCTACGACACGATACTACTATAAAAAAGACGACATACACCTTCTAACAGTACTGATGTGTCACCAATGATTAAACTGACTAATAAGATTGTTTGCTTTTACAATTAATTATTACCCTTAATAGTACTTGATTCATAATGCCAATGAAGTCATAACACTATTTGTTCGAGTTCGTACGTGTATTATTTAGCGTATGTACATTAAAACGTGGTGTTTGTGTCGGTCCGCAGCCCCATACACTCAAGTCAGCCGCAAAATTACGTTACTAATTGACTAAAACACGCGACGCTCACACCAGCAACGAATAATTAATTGAGCGCGGGCAAGGTGAGGGACTAGGTTGGGGTGGAGGGGGCCATCTGCGCGGTAACTCTTACATCAGTACACCGATAATGGCACAAATTAGCCAGGGAAGTGGCAGGCGGAGGAGCAGGGGTTGAGGCAGCGGAACGAGGCGCTAGGGGGCGCTAAGCCGGAACATCCCGGAGCGCAGATTACCGCTTGCTTTTGTAATTAACCGGAGCGACGGGCGGCTTCCAAATCCATTTCTGTGTTACATTTTCATTTGTGGCGCGCTCGTCCCCGCCGCGTAGGGATTACTCGCGCTCCGGTGAAAACTGAAAACACCGCTCCCTGGTTGCCATCAATGTTACTATAACGATATCCAAATATAAACTTTATACATTGGATCCGAAAAATATTTTACCCAATCTGTTCCACATCTGTTTACATATTCTGTCCAAATACACGCATAGATAGGCACCAATTCGGAGAAGTGACTTATTCATACTCTCAAAGCAATATCAGGCGCGCCCTAGCCGTCAGCGATCCGAAAACACGCAAACAGTGAGTTCAAAAAGCCTCTCGAAGCTGGTAAATATTGAAACAGAAGTGGGATCGGAGACGTCTGTCAACGAAGAGCGCGGTGGTACGGGTGCGGGCGTAGGAGGGGCGGGAGGGGGGGGGGGGGCACCGGTGTGCGGAGGGCACTAATAGTCCCTAGTGGCACACAGCAAACAAGACGAGCACACAAACACGACAGCTCTTCAAATATTCATCTTGTATCGAACTGCTGGGCTCACTTACGATGATTTCTTTTGCAGATTTTTTTCTAAAGTTACATATTTATTACATTCTGTTTTACGTTCAAACCAGATGCGATTTGGCGACATATAGTTCTATTGGTAAATGAGATCTTTACTACATTTAAATTAAAACTTCTGATTGTTATCGATGCTTAGAGATTTGATTTTATAAAAATACATATATTTTTATACTCTATCCTGATATTCCCTTAATATAATAGTGTCAATTATGTCATATCCTTTAAAGATACATTACTGAACCCATTGAGAGGCTTTGGTGTATGAATATAATAACTATAACATCAGTAAGTAATCAACATCATAAGACACTTACCGTTTCCTTTGTCGTCAGGTCGATGTAGTTCGGGCGGTTTAGCCAGAACTGAGAGTGGATGGTGTGGAACGCCTAGGCCAAGAAGGCCCGCTGGTGGTAAAGCGCCTTGTCCAAGGAGCGGCAACGGTGGCGCCCCGTGTGCTGGCAAGTGCGCTGCATGCATCTGTTGCAATAACCGAGGCAGGTCCGGCCTTTGTTGCTGTAACAAAACATTTATCTATAAGGATAAATTTATATACGATGAAAAACATTTTATGTTACATATCAGAGGGGGAGGGAGAGAAAGAATCTAGTGTCGTTCTATTCTTACTTCAATCACTTTCATTACTACTCTCATGCATGCACGTCGTTTCTGGTGATTTTCATCTCGTCAATTACACAGCAATACCACGTAATAAATTCAATATTCATTCATGCAAATTGATACAAAATAAATGAACCAATTCGCTATTTAAGCAACTCAAGTGTTGACAGTCAAAGTAAATTGATGTGTCACCGCAGAGCTCCGTGCATTTTTAAACCGAAGCTGAGCCAAATTAAAAAGTCCTCGACGAGCCCCCTCCATGCCACGATATTTTAAATTTTAAATGAGAGCCTCGCCGGCGGCGACGACTGAGTGAAATTGATTACTCCTTCTCCATTATTTCCTTTTTTTCTACTTTTGCAGCGTTTCCCGTTTCTATCTCGTTTAATTTAACGTTATTATTATACAAAAGAGAGAGCGAACGCCGCGTGCTGTTCCAACCCTCAGTTCATTCATGTTTCGATAGAGCTATTTTCTCACTCCCGCTTCTGCCTGCGCATCCGCTTTCGCTCTAGCCTCGCGCCGCATCTACTCTGCTGCCCCCGCCTCGCCAAGCTTTTTCCGCTCGGCCGAGCACGCTCTTTTTTTTAGCCGCCGAAAATTAATTGGATTTTCGCCGAGGGTGGAACATATTTTTTATTGGCCGCTCACGACTGTGATTTATTGTGTGTCAAAAGGTGGCGAGCGCCACTTAGCTAGGAGTGCTTTTTACGAAAAGGGATTTTTTAATTTAACTTATTTGGTTCTACAGTTTGTTATGATAATATAACAATGAGAACTGTATTAGTCTCTAAAAGCAGAGTAATGGTTTATAATTTTACCATATTTGTTACATATATGTAGTTTGAGACAAAAGGTATTTAGAAAGAATGTAGTAGGTATAAATTCAAATGCTAAATGCAAGGTAATAAAATTACAAGATTCCTATTTACGAGTATAGTATGCAGATACTAAATACACCCGACACGTGGTGGGTAGCGCGTGGGCTTGAGTCTAGAGCAATTTAACTGCTAATTATCCTAATCGGACAATCGTCATTATACATACTAGGCCGCACTAAGAAAATTAACATTATATGATTAGATGAATCACCTGACGAGGTTCACTCGATTTAAAGGCTATAGAAATTGCGCTCTAGTAGTTACGGTATTAAACTAAGAATTGGATAACATCCTAGAGGCAAATTTTGATACAAATTGAAATTTACAGCTCATGTTTACGATATATTTAAGGACTGTTAACCGTTCAACTCATATCTTACTTTGATTATATATTATTCCTTTAATATATCTAAAACATAGTTATGAACTGAAGATGATTTTTCAATTATCAAATGTAATGTAATAATAGTCTAATTTGTTTTTATTTAATATCTTGTGAGGCGAACAAAGTATGTGTATATTTTCGTGTGACATAAATACATATGGATATTAAAAAATTAATATTGTTGGATAATGAGGTAGTGAAATATCGTCTACTCTGTATACATATGTATAACAATAGCTTATTTCTCTTACAACCCAGGTTTCAGTATACCTACTACTTGTTTTAATTAAGATGCAATTCTGTATAAATTCTATTTATTAGTCACCTAATAATAATGTTGCTATGTTTGCTCATGTGTGTGGTTACGATTACGCCATAGCACCGTCTATGGTTTCCGGCCTATTGACCCGTGACTTATTCAGATAATCAAAGGGCGCTGGTGTAGTGTTGTCTGCTCATTATTCTGCGGCGACACGTGACGTGTTCCCCCACCTATCACTATCAAGTGCCGGTTGCTGTATGTACACGAACAAGCCTCTCACATGACCACAAACGCCTGTTTGTGTTGTGTTCATACAACACAGCACAAAAGCTTCAACACACACAAGTCGAGCGATCTTAATCTAACAAGCACAAAGTACGTGTATTTTGGCTTTAATTAATGGGAATTTAAATTTATTTGATATATTAATCAATAAAAATTGCTACTATGCAAGTCTGTACTTTTTATTTGACGTAAAAATTAGATTAACTTTGTTAATACTAAAATAGTGAGACAAAAATTATATCATAAACAGATATAACAACTAATCCTAATCAACCGAAAGTCTTTTCCCCATTTACTAAACAAAATAGTTATTGAAGCACCTTTGCGTGTGTATCACGCGGCTTCATTAAAGTGATCGAGGGGATTTACAAGCGACGATACATACGATACATCTTTCATTGAAGGCGCTTGACCGTCTACGGATCTCTAAACACACTTGACGATACGCTCACACGCTTACGTCGTTACACCTCACTCTAGGGAGCTGCCACCCACCCACCGTTCACCGTCACCGCCTCTTATGAATGACAATAACGTGGTGTCATACCTCGACGCGATATTTTTTCATCGTGCATATTTAGATGCGATTAAAGCAAGGATAGCCTCCCCTGGATTAAAACTCGTTCCCCCTAACGACTTTCCATCCGTTTACTTATCTCATCGCGAACTTTGGTGTTTGTATTATCAACCAAATTAAAGTTTGATTAAGTTTCGTTTAAGACAACAAAGAGGGTTTGATATTATTTTTCGATATATTTTCAACGGAAATCTTATACGAGCCGGAGCTTAATTAAAATAAACAACTTGGGCAAGGAGATATTTTACTAGCAACATAAAGATAAATTTGGCTGCATTTGGCAAGCCCCGCAAGTATGGTTGTGTACTGGGCTTCTGTATCTGCTATAGTCTGGGTATATCTATCAATCAGGATAAAACTCTGTCTTTCTTTATCACAATAACTACATTTACATGACACGACTAATTTCATGAATATTACTAGAGCAGTTAAGTTGCTAAGTGATAACAAGCTGACACTGAATTCTCCAATTATAATATTAGTAAGCCTACTTAGTTATTTATTACTTTAACAAATTTTAATACAATGGTCAGTATAAATATTAATATTCATTGATACAGTTTAGGCAGTATTACAAAATGAGTGAAATATTCACAATATATAAAATAACAACTCCTAAGGGTAAACTGTTAAGTTTAATGAATTTCTATCCAATCTAATACTAGGTGAGGGCTGGTATAGTCTTTCAGATAAAGTCTGCATAAAAAAAATAGTAAAGTACGTGTGTGTGTGTGTGTTTTTGAGTACTAAGCAAAGGAGCGTTGTCCCTCCACCCAGCGCTTTTGTTGAGAAAAATGCTTTGCCGCGTTCGGGTTTTCACGCCACATTTACCGCTGTCTGTACGATCCGATATTATTCACCATTTATAAATGGATATCTTACACCAAATGCACAGATATTTGAAGGTACGTGAGCCGTTTACTGTGCCTTTAAAACATTTATACAAAAATTTAATGGCATTTATATCTCTACAAGCTATATTCAATACATATCCTAAATATATATCTACAATTAAATCCACTCTGATAATTATATGTCAACTATAGATAATTATATTCTGTTTGTTACTACTTTAGAATGGTCTAGTAGTTACTAAAATTTATTGAAATGTCTTCCAAGTCCCATACGTCATTTAAACCATGATTGAAATTTTAACAAACATTGAAATATCTATACAAACCTTCAATTTTACGAGTATGTTAATAATATTTAAAACAACTAAAGAATACATTTAATAAAGTTAAAGTAATTTCTACGCATTACAATAAAATATCTATTTGGAAAAAACAGTTATGAAATATTAATATAAATAGCATTTATATAAAAATAGGCTACTTTTTCTTTTCGTTCACAAGCGAAACATTTTCATATATGCTTGTATATTAATAATTGCAGTAGGGTCACAAAACGGTGTTAACAAAAACATCGTTAAAATATAATTAAGATAAAGAATAACGATAATAATGATCAAGTATCGTTTGTGTAATTTATTTAATTGTGAAACCTATTACAAGCAGTGGTAGTCCAATGTGCATTAACCCACAATTAGTTACGTTTTAATAGGAACCACCGAGAGAAGGAAAGTTCCATTGTAACATACTTAAATAATTAAAGAACAGTTAGTCCGCGGTTAGAGACGTATTAAAGCGTTATTACAGTGATTGCTTGGAGCGCTCTCTATTCGGATTAACTCGTTGCATTTCACAAGATTGTAGGTTTATCTATAGTGTTAATTGGTTATTAGCCACTTATAGTTGTCATTATATTCAGAATAGAGTAATTTTTATTTAGAAATACTTTATAGTTTTTATATGTTTATCGATTTTTAGGCCAAATATATTTTCATCATTCATCTGCTTTTTGCTTGTGATGCTATCTATTTTCATATTAAATATCATAATGATCCTTTCAGCCGTTAAAACGTACAAAAAAACAGATAAACGGACACACTTGCGCGGTTATAATATTAGTATGAATTAAAAAGTGCCGCTAATACACTATCTGGTAAAATATTGTTGGATATTAGCATATGAATGTATACAGTTCTGCCTACTGTATGCCGATTACAATTGCATACAAAAAATATTGGTATCAAAGAATAATACGAGTCGTAACAAACAGGGTAGTGTATCGATACAGCGACGGTGGCACCCGAGGCGAGGGGTGTATGTAGGGGTGTAACGCACCATTAGGCAGGAAGCTTCGAGGTGGGTCGACAACTCGACACGCGATGCCAACACGTGTATACTTTTAACTTAATTGTTTAAACTATAATTAATTAAACAAGATGTAATCACGGAATGGAGAAATGTATTGTAATTTAGCAGACTCGTTCGTGTTACCTGCAAATATTGACAAAATTTGTTGTAAATGAAATTATTCTGTACTTTATATTAAAACTAAAAATGTAACGGTGTCAACCCTAATCCTATATCCCGATTCGCATTAATGACTGCAGCTATCCTGTTTATACTTCACGCCTGATGGTATAGTCCGGATGAACCGCTAATTAAAATACTTACATAGCACTTAGACCATATATCAATATGTTGTCCTAAAATGATTAATTAAGTAGATTCTATAATTAAAATGCCTCAATATAGTCTAGAACCAACCCATTAAACCATCTTTCATAAATCTGAATACATAAGAAAGTTATGCTCAGTTTATTGTGATAAAAAATACATGCCCTTTACTTGACAAACAACATCAGAACCCCAAACAGAAAGAAAAAACATACGAAAAACTCGAGCCGGATGAGTCGTAAAACTGATTACATAATTTCATTGGAAGCGACGACAGAATGGCCCCTAACTCACTTCCTCGCGTTGAAAAACAAGGAGCTACGGCTAAGCGTCAGGGGAAAAGTTAATGCGGCTCGTCGCGTCTCGTCGGCGGCGTTAGGGCGACGAGGACGCGCAAGAAACGCCAAGGGCCTGCAATGCAATATTTATCACCGTCGCGAACGTGCCTGGGAAAAAATGACAAATTCATGTTTCCCCGCCTCCCGTCGACCGCGCCGCTACCCCGATTTATTCCCATCGTAATTTTTATCAGAGGGCGCGACACCCGGCGTAAACTAGATAGAAATGTTTTCACGACTCGCTTGTTTATAAAGCTATCGACAGCGAAACAGATACGACCTATTTAGACAGCGCTCTTGTTTGCTCACCTATCTCTCGAGATAATGTTGCATAAACGATACATATAATATACACAAATACTCTTGTTTATTCCACATACTTATGTCAACGATACGGCTTTTCAATTACTAAATGTACACATCGTAAACATTGGATTGGAATAAGATTTCTTATCGGATTCAATACGTGTATATTTATGTTACGGACCCACACGTCTCGCTTCTCGTATCGATCTGTAGAATCAGATATTATGTGAATATTGTTTCAATGTCAACATTCGTGCCATATATAGCAGAGCAGAGTATAATAGAAGCGTACATCTGAAAGCTATATATTATATTGGCGGGGGCCGCCCTATGGGACCGGCGATGCGGAATAAAATCAGAACGAGAAATGATTTACCCGCCGTCACAGCGATAGCTGAGCGTCGAGTTTTCCGCTCCACGCTCCATACACCACTCTCTACACTCTGCCGCCTATTGACGACGAGTTCACGCACTTCGCGTAAACACAATGGGGGAACAGTTTTGCCACGTTATCTACCACCCCTAAATTCCATTCACGCCGTTTCGGATTTGTAATTCGGTCGACCGAAAAGGCTAATTGTTTATCTATTTGTATTGTGACGTAACGACTGTATTCAGATAAAGATTTTAATAGTACTTATATGACGACATTGGGGTGTGGATTTCAGAAATCGATAGAAACAAAAACATATATGTATACCCAATTGTTGCGAATGAATTGTAAATAAAGGCTTAGGAAAAACAATCTGTTTAAATTTCGAAACGAGAACACTCTGAACGGTAAGTGATTTTAATAGGCAGGCAAACAGTCCCCAATTCGAGGACTATTCCCTCTCTACAAATCGGAATGCGGCGAAATTGTCGCAAATCAGACGGAGACGAGGAAGCGAGGAGCGCGCGACGTGGCTCGGGCGGACACGGCTCTCGGGGGAGAGCCCCTTTGATCCCTAGCTGACCCGAAAATAAAAAAGGTTCGTAGTAAAAAAAAGGACCGACATACGGAAGGTGGCGCCGCTTTTTTATTTAAATTAGAGTGTTTTATAGGGGGAGAGCGATATTGCGTTTTGCCGGTGTCTCAGAGGCTGTTCGGTAATCTATACATGTAGGTAAATCCTCACGGCTGAGGGCGACGAACCTTTAGTAAATACTTCGGCATCTTAAGGTATTTTTTATACTCGGAAAGGTAGATTTATGAATAAAAAGGTTATACGAAGTCACACAAAGTATTATAAATAAGTACCTAGCCCGTCTGGTGTTAACTTGTCTTTCTTGCACGTGTTTATATTTAGTATCATACTGTTAGCGTCAACTTATCGCCATAAATGTCAATACGACATCAATAATTAGGAATAGTCATTAGCGTGACAGTGTGTTGAACTTTCGTAAATAATTCATGAGATTGTTGATACCCAGCCAAGTGTTACAGCCCACATTTAGGTGTTAATATTGATAATTTTCAATGGCAACAAATGTTTGCCAAGTAGGTTTCTACGTATTTTAGCTACGACAGAAAACATTCAAAAGGAATGTGCAGCTTTATCACTAAATGTATCCCGCAGTTGGTGGTCGGAATGTGGGTTAGGCAAGGAACAACTTAGTTGCAATTTCAACCTTATACCGAATACTTTTAGTTCGTTTTCTATTCACAAGACTAAATTTAATTTAGATTAATACTAGGCGTATAAAGAACAGGTAATAGTGTATTTAATATTGTACTTTTACTCTTAAGGTATACTTGTAGATGTGGTGAAGTTTATTTCTATATTTTAATTATAAAGGTACACCTTTATAATTAAACACAAATTAAATTAAAAACCGCGGATAACTATAATTTAACAGTATTTTTCAACAATTTACTGAGATTCCTGAGTCACTAAAAAGCAAAGCATAGACGTACCTATTGAAATAATCATGTTATAAATCATTGCATTTTATATATTATAGAATATGCTACTTGGTATATAATAAAAATTCTGATCACATATATAAAATACCTAAACACATACGAAAATATGGGTTGAAAATGGAAATACGAGTATGGGGTACCCATGATTCCGTTGTATGTGTAAGTACGTGAAGTGTGATCGTGCTGGCGCGCCGCCAAACCTTTGCAATCCACAAGAGTCTATCGGCCACAGACAGACGAGCGACGAGTGAGTTCCGCCACTTTATTTTCGCCCTCATTATCTATAAAGTGATTTATTTTGAGCTGCGCTATACGTATTCACTTTTCGAACGCCAAGCGTTAACAAATCGCGAGAATAGGTCGCACTAACGACTTGGCACCCCACTGTGAATATGCCTATTGAAATTTATAATAGACGGCAATGAAGTGCTCACGACACCTACCAGCAAAAATACAAATAGTACGTTGCGAAATTAATTAGAGGTGTAATTTGAGGACAGATTCTAATTCGCTAGATGGTATGAGTAGTTAAAATCGCGAATGTGACGCCGGCATAATGGGTAATAGTGTAGTAATTACGTTTAGTTATACCGTTCCACCCACGCGAATGACAGAACGGTGTTCACAAATGTTACCTGCCCACATAAAACATGCTATTTCACTATGAGGTCGTTGAATAAATTATTACAGTGAATTTTCTATGTAAAATGTTTGTAGTTTGTAACAATTTTATAAATTCGTCGTAGTTGGCTTGCTGCCAACAATCTTGCGGACTTAGATCATTTAATTAACGAGCGTCGAACTTTCGACCTGTTGAAAGTCGTGCTTTCACAGTATTTACATTAGCTACACGTGGCAAAGTAGATATTTTTATTAAATGCATTGCATATTTTGGTCGCATTTGTTCATAAGTAGGCATTTAATTTAGGTAAAAATAAGATAAAGGGATCATATAATCCTTCGTCATCGTGTGTTTATTTCGAGTTTTCGCCAATTTCATCTTCTACACTATCTTTGTTCATTTTACACTGCGGATCTAATAAAAAAAACATACATTTGAGAATAACAAATCTTGAAGCAAATAAAGTGATTCTATATTATTCTAATAATGCAAGAAATCCATGTTTTATTTAAAACAAATAAAGTAACCACTGAAACATAATAATTTATATTCGTATACCTAATACATAATGTTATTCAAGAAAGCTAGATCAAATTATAGTCTCAATAATACATAATCTATGATATACACTTGATGTTGAATGAAAGTGATTGCTTTGTGCCTGTGAATCATGTTGCGAACATAACTGTAAATCTGAGCTAGATATTTAATTAAGTACCCATATACAATGAAGCTCTTATACACGAGTTGATATATTAGGTAATAATTATCTCAGTAATATTGTATATTTCATTCGTAAATATCTTTAGCTCTTTGGTACTGAATTACGCGTATTATAAACGACTGAATAGACATGTATTAAATATTGTTATAAGAAAAACAATCAAATGAATCAATAACAGGATGTATATAATGATAATATAAAAATAATCAACATGAGTGTTTTGTTAACACAATGGTATTCATTAAATATAGAATAACGATCGTGTAAATTAGATATTACGTAATTAAAATAAATTGGTACATGGTTGGACCACAACCGCAATTGCCGCAGTCTACTTTATGATATAGCTGGTTTCTGCTTGTGATTTCAACCTCGTGACAGGTGTACTTCGATTGACTAGGAGCCTATATAAAAAGCCTATGTTTTTAAATATGTTAAATTTATATATATGAAACAAACAGACACACTTTCGCTTTTATAATACCTAATAGTAGGGATAAAGTTTATATGGGATAGTCTCGTGTCACAGATTTTATGACATAGACTACTTACCCCTATAATAGCATTGAGTTCAGTCATTGTGACCTGTTTCGCTCTTTCCACAGCTGAAGCCACTTGTTGCTGGTGTTCTTGAGAGAGGAACGGCAGGATCTGTGCTATTATTGCATTTAATCTTTTCGCTATCTCCGTCTGAAACATCAAAATATTAGCTTAATAAACATATTAGAATAAGCCCATCGTTAATGACTTCTATGAATTAATTAATATAACTAAAATACATCAATACAAGCAAAATTATGTTGACATCGATATGGTAATAAAATAGCTAATACCAATTAACGATTCAATTAAGCTGAGACATTTATTTCTTTGTATTAATTACAATCATTAACATTCTCAAACGGTGTTATTCTATCGATAAGTTATTATACATTTTCATTTTCTGCACATAAACGAATTAAAAAAGTTTTCACATTCCAATGCGGATCAAATTTAATAATAACGTATAATAATAATTAGTCGACGAGCCGCTAACCGGTCGCAGAGCAACAAATAAAATTAACACGATAAACAATAATGCACGCGGTCAAATGAAATGATAAATAGCTGTTACCGAGCCGCACGTATTTATTGGCTCTGTTCGTATTTTCCGTTTAAATGCACATTAATTTTATTCACAGATTCGAAGTGAATCGTGAACAAATTAACATAATCGAGTCCCTGGAATACAAAACGTACAAATGCTTTCTATTTGAGATCATAAATTATTTTTAATGAAGTCTCGTCGCTATATAATTTTCGAGCGAACGATATGGGTCATTGCCGTTCTATTCGGTAGGTGTTCAAAGTTGACACTTATTTAACATCGAAATAGGATTTATTTTTCAAGTAAATTACAATTTTCTGAGTATGCTCCAAATACACTTCATTGCTGTTATTAAGCCACGCGCCGCCTACATATTTCGGAATTGATCAGGGAAATTGTATGTTTATATTCGTCATGTTTATTCAATAATGTGAGTAGGCGCTAGCATAGCTATTCAGGTTTGTATCATGATTGTCGGAGCGCAACGTAAACGTCCCACAAATTGTACTTTCATTCGTTCTACCATACTCCACTGGCTGTAGTACTGACTACCATGAAGCGTCTCTATTTATATTTAGTTTACTTTCATTTAATGTGTTATTATCATTTCAGCTGTGTAACAATAGACTGTCATTTCTTAGTAGACATGAAACAACTGTACTTTGACAAACGCAACGATTAAAGAAAATCTACAATCCTGAGTTATTAGCATCTCTGGATGCCTTCAATATTTTTGAGATTATTACTGCATCTCTAGGGGTCGCTCTATATTACTTTTGCCACTCGAGAACCTTTCTTCCCTAAGGTACTAGTTATTTGAACTATCAGTTTCATTACCACATTACGGCTAGTAGTGAATAATAACAACGGTCGAATATCCACTTATTATATTTTTTATTTACATATTTATATCAGTCAAAAACTTAGAACACATTCTATAGTACAACTTGAATAACATAAAATATATGGCCTATTATAGTTGTTAGGTATATATTTACCAGCGTGGTTACACTAATTGATTACGTTACCAAGGTTTAATATTCGAGTTAAAGTGTCTATAAATAACACAAAGTGTGTATGTAAATATTATAGCTTTTAATATCAGATGTGGTAAATTTTATGCAATACGCATATTCATCAACGTCGAATGTAAAATGAAAATTTGAATACGTAATAAGCATAGTTAAAAACGCGATAAACTAACCATAACATAAATTATGCAGATTGTTTGTTCGGCCGAGCGATAAACATCAAGCTTCGTGACTGGTAGTACTGTATATCAACATTGCCTATTATATTATTTAAAAACACAAATGCTAATAGAGCGAATCAAAAGGTCACTGTTGAATTATTTATGTTGCATATACTTAATATTCAAGAGACAAAACAATCATAGTCAGATGAATAATAACCGAGTGTGAAGGTGATAGGTTAAGAGCGGTAATAACTTATGTTTAAACGTTTTCATGTTACTTATTATACGACTAAATATACCTATATTAAGTAATTGAGAATAGGCAATTATGATGTATAAAGTATGATAATATTATTACCGTATATCGAGTATAAATCACTTAATGTTTCATTCAATTGCCGAACCGACATAAATGAGATTTCTATTTTTTTTTGTATAAAATTACTCGTAATGAGTAGGTAATATCAATGAAAAGTTATTTAGGTATTTTTTTGTGTCACTATGTTTATTTCATTAATAGGAAACCTTGTTTAAAAGATACAAATGAACAAATTATTTTTAAGAGAACATTTTCTTTTTAATGTTTTACAATAAGATTAAATACATTAGTCACAGTTAGATTAGAAATATTCACTACTTTTATACCAGGCAGGGTAGTTAAAGGTATTCCGAACATCGTGGTGAAAACAATATTGAACGTGCCTACATTTCGCTGGGAATATTTGAATTCAACGTGGCACCCAGCGAGTCTATTCTCTCGAATTAATTTCCTTCGACATCGGCATTTCCTTTACCAGAGAGGGAGAGAATGGAATTAACATTCAAAGTTTCGGTGTCAAATTCTAACTATGCACTTTTAAATCCATATTGAGGTACTAAACCACTAATCCACGACACTCTCAGACTAGTAAGTTGTAAAACTATATTTGTGTTTATTGTAAACTGTAGAGATATAGGTGAGCGAATAGGTAGTGAGGCGTAGAGGCCGCGGGCGCCGCAGCCGCAGCGGAGCTCCGAACGCGCCCAAATTACCGCAAATTACATTTTCATTCACCGCCTCACGTCGCCCGCCGTCGGTTACTGTGGAAATTCGCTAGTAAAACGTGTAAAATATCTGTCTCGCTCGCTATTTTTAATGTATTACAACCCTTGCTGTTTCGTAAATAATTATATTAATTATAATGTAAGCACTACGCTCATTTGATTTTTATTTAACTATTATCTGATACGTTAATACACGATAGTATTTCGAATCGCAGATACATATTTAGACATTACGAAACTAAATAAAAAATATATTTTGTTACATGAAAAGGATATTTAAATTTTTTGAATTATTTGATATAATAATATACAATGAATCAGTAAAATTTTAGATACTGTTTTACGCTATTTGCATTAAATATAAAAAATGAGTCACGAAACTTAGAAAATATATTGGGGGCCATAAATTTGATAGATATACATTATTTCTGTAAAGAAATATAAAGAAATACATATAGGTAAGTTAAGAAGAACATTATCGTTAGAAGTGACGTATATGAGCACTTAAGTATGCAATAAACCTAAGAAATATAAACTGGCGTGCAATAAAACGATAAAGTTTGTTAATATACCGTTATATCTACGCAATCATCATCCTATAACTTTGTTCATACACGTTACTATTAGCCTCGTAACAGATTGTGGTTGGAGCTGTAACTTTATCCGAAACATTTAATTAAAGAAAGGAACGACAGAAAGCAAATATCGACAAAAGGTTTCAAATCAAAGCTTTTTTCTTATAAAAGCTACGATCCGAACAATCCGCGTCCCATCTGCACCTCGTATATACCTCTACATCGGTTGCTGCGAACGGCGGAATAAAAAACTGGCGCACAAAAGGGCCGCAAAATACGTACTTTTGCGAGCTCTCCACAAAAGATATAGTACGGTTTGTCATTAAGGAGTTCATCCCCGCGCGAGAAATAAAAGAGGAACGTTGGTTTCGGGGTGAGTGGGTGTTGGCGGGGGTCGTGCGGAGGCGTGGGGGGCGAAGCGAGAGCTGCACTAATGGCTCCAACACTCATCCGCTAATGCCGCGGGTGACTCCTCTTTTTTGTGCTATTTTCACGTGGTTTACCCGTTGGAGCTTTTAATCTGAAACTGCATCTTACCGGCGAAGCTCCATTTGTTCTTATGTCTTTAATATGAAGTGAAGTACGCATTTCCTACACATTAGATAGTGAGTGTATTACGTACTTATTTAGATATAAAGGTGGTTAAAAACTTTCTTTTGTAATATTCTCACAACCCAGTGTTCAGCGGTATAGATAATATTGAGTAATATGATATAATGAAACATGCCTAATACTAAATATTTTCATATTAGATTAAAAAAATAAGAATATATAACTCTAAGTAAGTTATAAGTAAAATCCTCACTTGATTAATTAAAAGGTCAATGCAAATTTTAAACCTCTAACTCCAAAATTTTTAGTCAATATCTAATTCGACTTCTTTTATTGTCATAAATTAAACCTTTCGATGCTACAAAATATTTAACCTGCTCAAAAACGTAGAGATATTTACGAGCATAATGAATATTTAGACTCACGATACACTGTCTAGAAGTGCATAGGGCTGCGACCTACATGCAGGTCAGTCTCAGTCGTGGTCTCGGTCTCGCAGCCACAATTTATTGTCTCTGGTAGACATTCATGTTCATGACCGCGTACACACCAAAGACATTAGCGGAGGCGATTGGAATACCAATGAAATAGCGTGCGCAATCAATCGTAATTATGCTTGCACAGGAACTGAGTTCTAAAGATTATACAAATCGACTAATTCGAAGTCTGATACTGTTCATCAAAACAGAGTATGTTGTCGTGTACTGCAGTAATGTAAGCAATATGGCTATCGATGTGTATACATCAGATCGAATAGATTTATTAAAATTGATTTTGAATATGGAATTCGAGGATAAACAAGAATTATATACAGAAAAAGCTCTGGTTAAATAAGTAATAGCCTTCGGATAAGCCGTACAATAAGTATCAAATAGTTTGCACTCGACTCAACCCAAAAACACAGAATAGATAATGGTACAATTCAAAACTCTGGTGAACTTTTACCGTGATTTTCGGATATAAACAGAATGGACCGCACCACCGCATTTCTACTGCGGTTGGGGCCTTCATTAATGGCTCCCGACTCTTTTATGAATTATTAATGTACGCCACGTTCCTACTTATCTACCTACAGCGCTTGTGGAGTTTCCACTTTATTAAACAAAACAGTCACCAATCGAAAAGGTCTATTGTATTGAAAGCGTCGTGGCTCTTATGGTGCGGCAATAAATAATTCCTCCGGCGAAATGGCAGCAGACTCGATAAATGGGCTATTATTGCTGCAGACACTGCCAAC